TAAAAAGAAATAAAAAACTGAACATGAATAGTAATATATTCCACGAACAGCAATAATAAAGGTAGAAGAAACCATTGTTAAAAAGTTATAACAATAATAATGCGTTAATGCATTAAGGGTTACAAATCTTGGAGGTGTTGCTGTCTTAAGTCGAGGGCAGTTTTAATGAATTGTCAGAGTGTGATATGAAATGAGGTAAAATTATAACTCACTGTCAGTTAAAATTGTTCATTAATTGTAAAATTATCAAAATTATTAATTTGTTTCTTACATTTCTCAAATATTAATTTTCTTTGGTCATTGTAAAATGGACAAGTCATGATGAAAGGAGCTACATGTATACTAATCAAATATAGTATTATATTATTATGTATTGCACATGGACTTTGGGTTTCTTATAAGACGATTTTTTGGGGTTTAGGGAATTTCATAAATACTGGTCGAAACTAAAACTGAACGAAAGAAAGAGAGGACGGAACATACAAACTTGGTTTCAATCTGAGTGACATCAATAATGACAACTGGTTACAGGCCTGGACATAATAATAATCATCATCTGGTCAGGAAAATCGCTAAATTGACAACATAGAAACAACATCATACATTGAAACAACCTGCTTCACAAACTAAAATTGGCTAATTTATAACAAAAGAATGTTTGCTTTGGGGGATATTGTTGTTGTTTACAACAAAACCAACAAAATATATCTATACTCAGACTAGTATTAAATACAATGTAATGTATTACTAGTCTGAGATCTATAATTGCTTCAGTGCCTGGGAGATCATTTCAAATAAATAAATAAATAAATAAATAAATAAATAAATAAATAAATAAATAAATAAATAAATAAATAAATAAATAAATAAATAAATAAATTATTATTATTACAATTAATAATTAAACTTGAACAGTTTCGGTCAGGTTTCGGTGATACCTCTATGCCGCCCCTTTAATAGCTCACCTTAGAAGTAATGGAAATACCCGGATGTACCAGAGGAAAGTAAAAGCAACACCCAAACACATTCTCGGTTTCATTGATTGTCAGTTGCGAAGGGAGTGTGTATATATTTTTTTTTATACACACTCTGGTGTGTATTTATTTAAACAAATGTAGCTGAGTAGATACAATAAGCGAACTGATCTTTGGTCACAACTTGGAAGAGAAGGCATGTCGCTCTGCGGAGGTTCTAACTCAGTGGAAATATCAAGTGAGTTGTTATCGGGTGTTGACGGAAGCTATGCTCGGTGCTGTGCTCTTTGCGCTTGCCGAGCGTAGCTTGTTTATTTTATCGCTCTCGGTGACACATGCGGTCACTTCTTGGGTGACTGTGGTTTGGTGGGTGTTGTTAGGTCCGGTGGCGGCGTCCCATATGTGACGGTGACAGAGTTTGTAAGACGCTGGGTAAGACGTATGCTGGATGATATAACGCGTGATGATTTCGTAGTTTGTATTCTGCGAATAACACTTCCGGATGGGATCGCATGTAATCATAACTGGCTTGCTAGAAGTAACCGAGTTGGAAAGATATCTACTCCTAGAAACTAGCTAAAAATTTACGACGTATTGAATGCGAATAAAATAAAATAAATAAAATCTGAATATGATAGTCTTACAAAGCCGACAAACTAGGAATACATCTTCACAAAATGGGAAAGAAAATTATAATAATAAATAAACTACGTAATTAACTACGACAAGACTATGAAATAGATAGCATGGAAATGACAATAAACGTGCAAATTATGAAAATAGTTTATGTGGCTGTACATAACTCAGAATATTGTCTAATATGTCTTTGACACTGGAAGAGGCAGGTATAACATAAATGCGAAAACATAATATGACCAGTCAAACAGAAAATTGAAAACATTTTCTTGAAAAGACACATCTCAAAACCCCAACCCTCCAGCACCCTAATTTAATTGTTATATTCCCCTCTAGATAATTATCGATGTCCTCAAAATGGGACATATACAATTAATTTAGAGGGTTGGAGGGTAGAGATATAGGTTAGGATTAGGAGTGGGGGTACAAAAAATTCACGTCTTTCCATTTTCTTCTCAATTGCAACTTGTAGGAAGATTTGGTAAACATGAGTATAAAACATTTATCAATTGCTTCCTGGCAAATGAAATGAAGTATGTCTAGCAAAACCAAATAATCATTAATAATCTTATAAAACATACTTTTTATTAACAGTTATTTTCAAGCTAACCATATTTTAAAGAAACCTGTTCAATTTGAATTCTGAAGGGTACCTCTGGGTACAGTGATCTTAAGGGGGCATATCAAGGGGTTGGGGTTTGATTTTGTTTACAACTACATATTTTTAGGCTAATTCATGATAATTTATAGAATCAATTTATAACAAATCAAGAGATGGATGTAAAGTCTTGATAAACTAATATTTACACAACTTGAAAATTAAGTGAGAAAATTGACAAAAAAGATAAGACTGTAATGAATTTTCTGGAGACTCTGTACCTTTAATAATGAATGAATAAATCACTTTTCATTTCTTGTAGACATGTCTGGTGACCTCAAGAAAGGCTACCTTAGACGATATGGTAAGTAATTACTAAATCTGTGTGTTTTGACTTTTGTCTGGACCAATTACATTCAAACTTGCATGCATCTTGGGATACATATGCATATCCATTGGTTTTGCCATTCAAAGTGGCCAAATGGCAGCCATTTTTGTGCTAAAAATTCATTCAAATTTAGTACACATA